AATGCATTTACATGATTCTGAATTAACATACGCTTATTATCAAAACGCTCACAAAGAATCTTCCAAGCAACAGGATAAGTTTTGGCTGAAAATTCAATGGACTGTATAACGACAGCAGCGGTGCCCTCTAATGACGCTCTTAGATAGTGAAACTTATTTATATCATCAATATCTTCATTGCAGTGGATAAGACTAGAAAAAGTGTCATGGAATTCTAACCAATTATCGTAGGATCCGCTGAACTTTGGCAATTGTATAGTGGGTAATTTAACGAGATTATTGTTGTTATTAGCTCGCATCGAACTCTTGTCATTCTCAACATTCGCTTCGTTCGATTTAGAAAAGCGCGTAACTATACCCTGGGCTTGTGCTATTAATTTATAATATTGAGACTCAAAATCATTTCTTACAACTAATTGATTTTCCATGTCCTCTGTTATGCATTCTATTTTAAACTGTATTTCATCATATTGTTCAAAAATATTAATCATTTTATTAATACGTAATTGTAGTTCGTTTACCTGAGACTGGCTTACTGATTCTTCCAAATGACTTAAATAATTACCAAACAACGTAAGACGGCCTTTAAAGCTTGCACGTTTTTTAATTAGTTCTCTTTCCTCTCGGTCAGTCATTGTGGGGAGCAAGTATCAAAGCCTGGAACGTTATACAAATAAAAGATTAAACTATAATATATAACTATTATGATTAAGTACTAAACAGTTTTAAAGTATAAAACAATTTTAATTTTGCAATGAACCAAACTGAAATGTATCTAATGTTTAATATAAAAAGTCAAATTAACAACTATTATTATTTAAACTAAAGAAATTTAATCAATCTAACTTTCTTAACTCTGATAAATATGTAAATGTTTTAATTTTACTTTATTTTACAACTTTATAATTTTAAAGATTAATTTTTTACAATTATATTAATTTACAATTATTTAGATGTAATTTGTAACTTATTTCAATTAATCAATAATGCATATTAAATCTACATATATCATTTCAATTATAAGTATTATACTTATATCATTAAGACAATGAATATAATATTATGTGATATGGAAGAAATTTAAACAATGGAATGTGAAAATTACAGAATTATTATTAATTTATAATTTTACTAACCTTTATACATTTAAAACACCTTAAATACTACCTGAATTAGAGTACTGGGTGGAAATTAAGTATTGAAATTGCTTAAATACTGCATATATTCCATAAACCACGCCTTGTCGAAGTCTTGATATGATGACCCCGGAACAATTTGTGATTTCACTTATTTTTCCACAGCCAAATCCAGTATTTTTATATACGCCGGTTATTTTTAACTTTAATATCCGTGTCGATGGACCATGTCTTTGAATTAACAGATTTAAGGTGTAAAAAGAAAGGTTTAATTGCAGACACGTAATGATTTAATCGAGATCAATTTACAGAGAGAGAAGGTCGGTAGAAGAAAAAATAATTAGCGGTAGAAAGTTAACACAAAATCAACATTGCCTTCAAATATGAAGAGGCGCTAAAAACTATTTGAATAGTAATATTAATATTACATAAATTTATAATTAACTATAATATAGATTTATAAACAACGCCTAAACAGCTGAACCAATTGATGAAGTTTGGTATAGAGAGGGATGGGACCTTGGAGAAGGACATAGGATATTTTTTTTGTCACAAAAATGAAATTTGAAAGGGTTGAAATAGAGTTGAAAGATTGTATTGGGAACAAATAATTTATCAAGTTAAAATTTTAAGTAAATTTCAGTGATTATAACTTATTAAGGTAAAAGGGTATGATTTCAAGTTTTTTTAAAGGACTTATACTGCTTTTATATATATATATATATATATATATATATATATATATATATATATATATATATACTACTTTTCTATACAAATGTACCTATATTAACTATTTAAACGTACCTAGGGATGAACCCGAGCGAAGCGAGAGTAAGTTGCTAGCTATAATTATTTTCTTACCATTCTAATGATTTATTATTAACAAAGACAGACAATATTACATCATATTAGATAAAGCGCTGCCGTATTGAGGTTATTGCCTCAATTATTTCGCAATTCATTAATTTTATTACAGCTTAATGATATATTCATTATAATTTAGTGCACCGTCGGTTCGATTTACGATGTGGTTAACTGTATTGATTTATCGGTCATTTCCTAAATAATTGTTTCTTTCCTTATTGTTATTTATTGCGAAAAAAAGAATTTTTTATGGTATTTCTGAAAGGACATAATTCAAAAATACATTTCGACGATTGTAAATGAATTTTGTATAATAATATGTATGGAAGTATATGTTATATATACAATTTTGTACGTAGAAGAGGCAATGTATGATGTGGATCGCAGTTTTGATTTCCGATTGAGTTTGAATGATATTGTAAGTCATAATTGTAGTGAATTTGGAAATTTAAGTAAATATGAGAATTAATTTTTATTGTTGAATTATATTAACTTTGCTCTGCTTTGTGTAGGTTTATATTTATTCTGATATTATTATACTGTTTCGGTAGTATAAAGATTCTAAGATTTGGTGCTTTCGGCCAAGAAATTTTCTGTGACAACCCGGATGTGCGAAACAGCACGTTGCTGCAAACCTTTAATTGTGCGATCTGATACATACATTTGTTCAGTATGTTGTTTTTTGATGCAGTCATAGAACCTGATGTAATCAGAGAGGCTCAGTTCTGAGCTTGACCGCACTAACTGTAATAGTCGAGGAGGCAATTATTATTATGATTATTACTTTAGTATTATTTATTTATAGATATTAAATCTATTTTATCTATATTTATACAAAGCGAGGTATTGGAACCTGAATACCTGAAACCTCTCTGCATGTTTGAAAAGAATAATGGTAACAACTACTCTATTTTATTTATACTCAACAAAGTATAAATAAAATGTTACAAGAAGTAAAATTAAAAATAACGACGAATTATAGATAATGGTACGGAACCCTTCATGTGCGAGTCCGACTCGCACTTGGCAAGTATTTATTTTTTTCTTAATGTTGAGAATTAATTAAAAATGTATAAAACAATAATTACGCTTGCACAATACACAATACAATTGGCAAATATATTTTTGGCAACTCGATTATTGTTTAATCTTTTAATTTAGGACTCGCGCATGAAGGGTTCCGTACCATTATCTATAAAAATAGAACAAAAAAATCACGTTTGTTGTATGAGAGCCCCCTTAAATATTTATTTTATTCTATTGTTTTGTATTTGTCGTTATAGCGGCAACAGAAATATATCATCTGTGAAAATTTCAACTGTTTAACTATCACGGTTCATGAGATACAGCCTGGTCACAGACGGATAGACAGCGGAGTCTTATTAATAGGGTCTCGTTTTACCCTTTGGGTACGGAACCCTAATAAACTACTCTAAAATACTCTGTTGTGAACGCAGAGCCCGAACCATACTCGAAACGTGCGGTTTCTCGATAACCAATCACAGCGCGAGGACCTTGGGCCCCCATCAGCTGCTGGCATATCTCGATAAGCTATTTTTCGCGCACCTATTGCTACGAATAAGACTTTTTTGTAGTACTAATTTGTAAACTTTATTTACGTCTGGGAATGGTTTATAATCGGTAAATCCGTCTGGCGATTTGCAAGTATTATTGAAAATTACTCAATAAATACGTGATTAAAATTTCAGATTGCCAAAAGTATATTTTTTTGAATAAAAAAAATAATCTTTGGAGAGGTCTGGCAATACTTTATAACCGACAAAAACGTCTGGGGTTCTTTTTTTTGAATTATATGAAAACTAAATTAAAAGATTAAACAAAAATCAAGTTGCCAAAAATATGTATGTCTTTTTGGATATTTTTTTTTGCAAATGTTATATACTGCGTAGTAACGAAATAACCACTAAAGCTATACCAGACTCGCGGGACTGGACTCGCCAATTCACAAAATTATATTTTTCACAATTTCAACTTGCCAAAAGGACCTTCCCAAAATTCGTCGCCAGCTCTCGGAATATTACAAGCTATTCCTATCTGACATATTACACTCGTTTATCGATAATGGCAGGCAAACGGAGGTGAAGTCTGTCAGTTCATATTTTGTATGGAAAACATAAGAAGGTTCCGCCCATAAAAGAGCATTATAGCTTTAAAATTTCTATTGAACGGAAAATGCCAAAGTTCGAATAACACAAAATTAAATAAATATAGTATCGTATCTTCTCGACTTTTCCCTTGCGGGGTAGATCTAGAACATACGTGGTACTGACAATTCACACCGTTCACCGTTTTCCGATAATATTGAGACAGTGCATGTCAGCTGGCAGTTACCAACGCATTTTGTCTTTACCAATATAGAAATACTAGCTATATACTAATATGACGGTTTCTATGGAATAAATAGAATATATGTATATGATGAGTTTTATATCGATTACTTTAGAAATGATTGATTCCTTATACAAAGTTCCACCTCCATTTTCACCCCCTTAAGGGATGATTTCCGGGTAAAAGCTACCCTATGTCCTTCCCAGGGCCTCAAACTATCTCCATACCAAATTTCGTCTAAATCGGTTGAGCTGATTAAGCGTGAAAAGGCATCAAACAGGCAGACAGAGTTACTTTCGCATTTATAATATTATTATGGATTATTGTCGTTAGCTCATGTTTCCCGGGAAAAATTGAGCCTATATTATACTAATATTATAAATTTGTCATTAAGTATGTTTATACTGCCACAACGGATCAAGGAATTTGAAAGTCAAATTAGAGAAGAAGATAGCTTTTATTCTGAATTAATACGAGTGGAGCCGGGGGAAAAGATTAGTAATGAAATACTACTTTATATTCAAACTATTTTGTTTTAGTGCGGAGACGTCAAATAAGTAATAAAATATAAGGTTTTATAGTTAAAAAGGTTATATATAAAATGTAAGATACTTTTTAAATGAACACTTGTCCTTGCAATGCACTTACACTTTCGGTCTCGGATTCGTAATCACAGCGACTCTAATAGCCTCTTTGATGCCGGAGAGGAAAAGTTTGCTGATTTCTCCGCGTGGCCAGAAAAATATGTACAGAATGGATCTATGTATATAATTGTTTATTGTTATCTGTAAGCAAATATAAATATTAAAATTGTAAAACATCAGTGGTAGCCCATTGGTAACGCGAAAGGATATAAAAGCAAGTTTGCGGGTTCAATCCCCGGGTACCACAAAAATTTTCATGCGCGAACGAGTGAAGAAAAATATCGTGAGGAATCCATGTCTGACAAAACATAATAAGTTCAAGAGAGACATGAAGTCCGCCAACTTGTAATTGGCTAGCGTAGTGGCCTATAGTCTAATCCCCTTATATTGAAATGAAGCCCATGCTTAGTGGCACATCAACAAGACTAAGTTATTATATGAAAATTACAGTTTTTATTACCACAAGTACCGATAAAGTTTTTAGCTGTATGAATTTGTTTTGATTACAACACGTATTCCTGCTTTGGAAGGTTGTATGAGCATTTCTTTTGTTTTCTAAGCATATTCCTCAATTATTTGGATGTAAAGGAATAGTTAATACTGCGATTAGTATAAAGATAAAGTAAAAGTATTAAAAGAGATGACTGTTCTAGCTTAATATAGTGCTACACTGGTTCTACGAGAGCAAGTATGTACTACGCTAAGGGCTACGACTTCGATTCTGGCGTATCAATTTAATTTTTAATATATTATAAAGATATACGGAAAAAAATATCGTACCTAAAAATTAGTATACAATTTATTTTCAATCACGAGTCTTACCTCAAATAGCAGATTCTCACATTCGTAAGGGTCACAAAAGATTAGACTAGTCCGTTCCTCCGATGTATCCAGGCCTTTCTTAAGATAACTGAAATACTAACAAGATCACGTTTATTAAAAAAAATCGCTACTTCTTTCCATAGTTTTGTTGTTCGAGAGCTCTAGACATTAGTCCGTTCAATAAATATATAGTCAATAAATGTCCGTTGGATTTGGACATTTAAAGATTGGAGAGGGATTCTAGCAAAAAATCGGCCGCAATGCCTCGCAATCTATATGTATACATACATCCCATCAAAAATATAAATGTAAATATATTAACTCGGACTGGCTTTATTTTAACCATTTATACCCAAAATAAATTAATATTTAAGTAATTTTGTCTAAAATTAAAAGACATTTACAGTAACGTTCACTTGAACGTAAGTGAGCTTAAATGAGACACTATCTACATTTTTCGTATAACTAACTCTCAATAAAAATTAAAGTTTTAGGAAAATTATGTCAATTATGGAATACGGATTTTGCTGTTACACGATAATATTAGATATTGAACAAAAATCGTTAGGCAAAGGGGATTGAGGTTCATATAAAAATATAACATTATGAGAATATTAATAATCCTGTATTTATGCTATTTCATATAATAAATACTCAATATTAAGGTTAAGCATTGAGAATGTTTTCATCTCGAGAAAACAAAGAGCTCCCACGGGGTAGCAGATGGAAATTTGCACAACATTCTTTTAGTACTAAATTCCAGTACAAAATTTTCCTTTTGTTTTATACAAGTCTAGTATTTGCCCGCGGCTTCACACGTTCTGGCCCATGTGTTTCGAATTTCACTCACTTCAATAAAATCGCTATGAACAAGTAACAAACGTATTCTCACTCCCACACTTCTACATATATGATATTTAACATAACTTCTGTTTTATTATTATATCTCTAAATCTACATACAGTTATTGTTATGAATTTTTATGTACTCAGCCCTTTTAAAGTCCCACTGCTAGGCACGGGCTTTCCTTCAATAGGAGGGGGATCAGGCCATAGTCCACCACGCTGGCCAAGTGCGGGTTGGCGGGCTGCACATGTTTATCGATAACTTGTCAGGTTCTCTCAGACATGCAGGTTTCCTCTCGATGTTTTCCTTCGCCGTAACACAATTAGTGGTAATCATGTTGGAAATAATTCGCACATGAAAATATCAGAGGTGCGAGACCCGGATTTAAACCAGCTTCACTCGGTTTCTCAAGCAAGCGCGTTACCACTGGGCTACCACTGCCTTCTTTAAAAGTATTTAAAATATATTTCTGACCTACCACATCTCTGGTTTCATTGATATCCAATTTAATAACTTGTATGTTGTTCTCAGCTAAAAGGCACATTATTCCAGAAAAATCTTCAGATCTGCAAATAATTGTTATGTAATAAATACTTTACATATTTATGTATTTTAAAACAGTTTTAAAATACGAAGTGTCTATTTGTCCAATAATCGAATGAATAAAAAATATTTTATTCCTTCAACTATTGTTGGTGTGTGATATATTCTGAATGTGACTATTTTTATCTATACTAATATTATAAAGAGTTAAAGTTTGTGAGTTTGTGACGTTGTAGGAGGTAATCTCTGGATCTACTGAGCTGATTTAGATGAAATTTGGTAAGAAGATAGTTTGAGACCCTGGGAAGAACATAGGGTATTTTTTATCCCGGAAATCATCTCTTAAGGGGGTGAGAATGGGGATGAAATTTTGTATGGGGAATCAAGCTTGTGTCGCTTGTGTCGTGGTCGCTAGTGTTTCTATAAAAATCAATACTGACCTATCAAGCTATAAAGATTTTTAAGAAGTATAGATTTTTAAGAAGTATAGTAAAATTTTTAAGATAGTTAACATTTTAATCTTCGAATAAGTTAGAACGGACTTAAATTTAAAATCTTTATCGCCTGATAGGTTAGAGTTATCTTGTTTTATTATGACGCAGTAATATTCTCCTAATAAAATTCATTTTTAGATGCGTAGGTTCTAAGTCGCTTTTTTTGCACATAAAAACTCTTGAAACTAAATATCGTTGGGATCTAAAAAAATAAGTTTTAAGCTCAGTAGGTAAAGGTTATTTTCTTTTTTTTTTGTATAAAGAAACTCCTGTACCCAAAATCACTTATCAGTTATAAAAACTTGTTTTCTAATATAAAATAAGTGATTTATAAAAGTGGTATATATTGGTACAAATCGATAATAGCAAGTGAAGGTCGAATAATAATAATAAATTTCTTAATCATCCCATTTACGGACGAATAGCAATAGCCTTTAAAATACCTAATTTATTTTAAAAAGAAATATTTTTTGTTTTGAATTTTTACAAGGTTAGCTTTTTTACTTTAAAATAAGAGAAAAGTACAGACTCAATTTACCTGCCTGCACCTTTTTTGAAATTGGTAAAAATACTTGCTGCAAAATTAAGAGCAAGATTCATACCTATATTTTGAATATTATTTGAGTATAACATAATAGTTTACCGTATATTCGTCGTATTTCCTCTAACAATAGTAAGAATGTTTGTTGGTAATCCGATAGCTATGTCCATTATCGCTTTTGAAAAATCTTTTGGGAGATGTTCCTGGTTTCTCGTCATATTTCTGTTATTGAAGCATTGAATACTTCCAATACACACCAAAATATGAAACAATATCCATATTTTCATTGTCGCCATGGGAGTTATATTTACTATGAATGAAAAAGCTCAATACACCGTTTCCTTTCGAACTACTAATAATTCTGAATCATATTTCATTTATTTTGGGGTTGTACGTAATGTATTGAGTAGTTAGTTGGTTAGATGTGCCAATACATTTTTTTTTATTTTATGTTATTTTATATGTTATTAGGTTGGAAGCTATTCAATATTGTTTTGTTTTGACGACAAGATTGGCTCAGTTTTATTGATCCTACTTGCTGTACCAGCAGTCACGGGTTCGAGTCCCGCTGGGGGCATTCATTTGTGTGATGAGCACGAATGTTTGTACTCCATTCATGGGTGTTTATATTTATAATATGTATGTAATTAAAGTTATATATGCGTAGTGTATCAACTATCTGGTATCTATAACACAGGCCTTGTAGCTTTAACCAGAGAACTACATAGATGTTACCGTGTGTTAATGTCCCAACACGTTTAATTATATTTTGCAGTTTTATTATTGCAAAAATTACATAAATATGCTTTATAAGGAATTTTCTTTATGGGCTAGGTAAAGAAAAAAGGTTATTGCTATTTAAATAATAAATAAAAATACTGTAATGCTACAAACTCCTTTTTTTTATTTAAACCAAAAAAAGGATTCTTAATTTGGTTGTACGTTTTTTTATTAATGTCACGATATTGTCGCTAATTATGAGACGATTTTTATGATTCTCATGTTTGATGAACATTTAAAATATATAAAATAATGTTAGAGTTGGTACATCTTTTGAGTTAAAAAGTAATTTACTATCGACAATATATATTTGAAATATTAAAAATATATGTTTGTTTTTTTTTCTGTTAGTATTCAATTACATATATACAACTTTTATTTTCTTTAATTCATTCAGAGCTTGAGGTATCTGTAGAATAATCTTTGCCTGTGCAGCCAAGTGTAACGTCCCCTTCGTGCGGATTGGCGTTTGACGAGCAAAGTGGCCACTTTTCATCGCAGGGTATGACTGATGGTTTAAAAGCTTTGCCGTGTTACCTCTAGGCCACCTTATCTTGTAAAGGGTCTTGTTCATTGGATGCTGTGGTTTCTTTATGAACATTTTTTTTTCTATATTAGGTTTTTTGATATTTTGAGGACACGTTTGGCTCAATTTGTAGTGGTACTTGCTGTGCCAGCGGTTGTGGGTTCGAGTCCCACTGGGGGAATTCATACAGTAATAATAATTATAGTAGGTGCAAGTAAAACATAAACATTACTTCTTAAAAGTAAAATTTTTACTATTCACAAAATATTCCAATATAGGCTATTATTAAATTAGGGCTTCTATTATTATTTTTATACAAACGACTTACCCTCGCTTCGCTCGGGTGTGTCTCTGCGTACGTTTTAATTTTTTGAGCTGAACCCTAAATTTTTTCTAAAATAAGTAGCCTAAGTTACTGGTCACTAGTTATACTAGTTATAACATCAGCTATCTGCCAGTGATAGTATATAAGTCACATCAATCCAGCCGTTTTGGAGATTAGCCGGAACAAACAGACAGATAGACAAAAATTAAAAAAAGTGTTTTTATTATAAGTACCTTATATAATTTCATATGCATTTAGTAAATGGCTGTTATTTTGACATTACAAACAGATACTTCAATTTTATTCATCAGTATAGATTATTCATAAAAATTTATATGGATCTCACTTAATTGCATTTATAAAATTGGTTTTACTGGTCTGTTGTATCTATAATAATACGAGTATTATATAGCTGAAGAAATGTATTTTGTTTATTAGACAATAATTGTTGAGGACAGTTATAGGTTATTCAAATATCATGCTACGAATCATAGGTGTAATGCAATTATACAAAGAAAATACTTCAAAAGAGCACTTATGGGCAAAAGCTTTATTTAAATACTAGCGACATACCCTCGCTTCGCTCGGGTTCGTCTCTAGGTTGGTTTCCCATACAAACTGTTCTCCCCATTTTCACCCCCTTAAGGGGTGATTTTCGAGATAAAAAGTATTCTATGTCCTTCTTAGTGACTCAAACTATCTTGTTACCAAATTTTATTTAAATTGGTTCAGTACATCAAGAGATTACCCAATACAACGTCACAAACTCACAATTCACAACCTTTACCTCTTTATAATATTATTAGTAAGCTAAGTAATCTGTGCTACAATTGATAGTCAACTTATTATTAGATTGCATTTAAAGACTCTTTTTTTTTTTAAAAGAAAGAAATCTATACATTATACTTTTTTAATCATATTTTTATTCTAGTATCAAAATATACTGAAATATTTTATAATATAACTTTTTATGCTTATATTAGACGTAATAACGTTTTAAATACTAAATATTTCTATAATATTTTTATATAACACAACACAGAAAAATCTTGTAATGTGTATAGAGCTTAGAACGGTCGACATGTTGCTTGAGTGCTATCGACGAATAGGCCCCTAAATAATTAACTACCTAAATGTCAAATATAAAAGACCAGCAATATCGATGGCATTTCGATCAAAATTGGGAAAATAGAAACACATTTTTAAGAGTAGGTACTCGTTTTCTAAGAACACTTGATTTGTTTTAACCTTTATTTTTTTGAAGTATAGTAATCTATAAATAATATTCAGTCGACTTTTTGTTAATTGGTTTATATAAAAAGCCAAAGTGGAGCTTTATTAATTAATTTTTTTTAATCATTTTAATAATTTCATAAATTATCTCGTACTTAAAGTTTAAACAAACAAACGGATCCACGAAAAATATTATTCGTATTGTTTCTTATTTTAAAATATTGTCTTAGATAATTAGAATATTTAACTTTAACTTTGGGGAAATGATTATAATTACTAAATAATGTATAGCATAAAGTATTCAGTACCAGTTGCTGCTCTTCTTGATACTGTGAAAACCATAATGCCCTTTTAGAGTTACGCGAATATTTGCCATTTTAAATAAAACTATCTTTTCGAAAAAAATTCGTGAATTTATTTTTTGTTTTTGGGTTCTCGATGTTTCGAATGGTTTACATCAATCATGGTCTCGGAGAGACTAAGGACGTCTCAAACGTCGAATGAAAAATCCAAAAACGAAAAAATCCGATAAGATGGTACTAATTTATGGCTTTTATTCCATATTTCCAATATAATTAACGGCTAAATTGGTACTTGAATAGGAGAATTCTGTTAACAAAACAGTATTTACATTGAAGTTATTGGCTTAGTAAGTAAAGTAAATAACTCTAAACGCCTCTAGAGATGCAGCTAATTGTAAATTTCTCATTACTTTTATTTACTTTTTTCAGTCCCTTTTTAACGTTCTACTGCTGAGCATCGAATGGAATTAGCATGGGAGGCTGTTTAATGCGAGTGGAACATGGGCGTTTAGGCCATAGTAGTGGACTTCATATTATGTGTTTTGAAAAATAGTTGCGTTTTCTCAGACATGGGGTTTCCTTACCATGTTTTCTTTCACCGTAAGACAACGTGGTTACCATGGTGAAAATGATTCTCACATGAGAAAATCGGAGGTCTTGCACCTCTCATCAGGGATTTGGACCCACTTCACTTGGTTTTCCAAGCAAGCTCGTTACCAATGGGTTACCTATTTACTTATATATCTCGAAACATACAACACTATAAATATTACCATTGTTGTTATACTCTTTTAATTTATAGCCTGTAACAATTTGTATTCTGAACGCGAAAATTATTTGCATTAATTATTATGTAATGGCTCTTATAGATTAATTTGTTCGCAACTTTTACAAGCTTCTTTACAACACGACCATTTTAATATTTATATTGCAATGGTCATTTCGTAAAGATGCTTATAAAGTATAAAATATAATTTAGTATATATTATTCTTTCTATTAAATAATATAAAGTATATTAAATACTTTTATTTTAGGATAAGGCTATAGTCCACCACGTTGGCTGAATGCGGGCGGCGGACTTTCTGTTTGGCGGACTGTCTTTCGAAAACTTGCTAAGTTTTCTCTGACATGCAGGTTACGATGTTTTAGTTCACCGTAGGGAACTGGTTATTATGTTGGAAATGATTCGCACATGACAATATCAGCAGTGTCAGATCCGGGATTTGAACTCACTTTACTCGGTTTTCTAAGCGAGCGCGTTACCACTGGGCTACCACTGCTTGATATACTCTATATATCAACATACTGAAAAAATATATCAAAACTGCCTCGGTGGTGTAGTGGCTAGCATGTACGGTTGCACACCCGGAGGTCCTGGGTTCGAATCCCGGGTCGGGCCAAGTTTAGTTATTGAGTCTTCCTGTATAGTAAGTCTCAGTAACAGCCCGGAGTTGGGAAGTTGGCGGTGTTTCACCCCCGTGCCTCGGAGAGCACGTAAAGCCGTCGGTCCTGCGCCTTAACTCTCACCGGTCGTGTCGAGTGGTCGTCCCACCGGAGTATGAGAGTGATAGGAATAGAGAGTGCACTTGTGTCTGCGCGTACACTTGAGCACTATAATATCTCCTGCGCAGTTGGCTAATCTCATTGAGATTGGCCGCCGTGGCCGGAATCGGCTAGGAGAACATCATCATCAACATACAAATTATATATGATTTCTCAGCCCATTTCACTATTTATCTTTAAAATCTTCAAAAATCAAATCAATTGGTTACTGTATGAAAGAAAGAATATGAAATAAACATCATTTACATATTAAGTGGTTTTCGTGGCTTATTTGAAAAAGTTACTGAAGTACATACACCTGGGTCTAGTATAGACTAAGAAGGCTATTGAAAGTAATTCAATGCTTTAATATTTAGTATCTTTTTTAGGGTTCCGTAGCCAAATGGCTAAAACGGCACACTTAAACTTTCGTCATGGCCGTCTAACCGTTTATCCGTATGTCACAGTAATTTTACTCGAAAACCATTGGATCAACATTGTTGAAATTT